CAAGCTCTGCCTGGAGGAGTGGAGACACTGGTTGGAGGGAGTGGCGCAGCCATTCATATTGTGGACTGACCATAAGAACCTGGAATACCTCTATTCAACCAAGCGTCTCAACACCCGGCAGGCCAGGTGGGCTTTGTTCTTTACTCGCTTCAATTTCACTATCACCTACAGGCCTGGGTCGCGAAACGTGAAGCCAGACGTCCTTTCCCAGTAGTTCTCCACCTTGGAGGGGGAGTCGGACCCTGAGACCATCCTTCTGGCTGCCTGTGTGAATGAAGCTGTCTTCCAGGTCGCTGCTCCTGCGGTTGACCAGCCTGTCAGCTGAGCAGTTTTGCGTTCGTTTTCTATCTTTAATGCTCCTTTCGTTGTTGTATTTCGCTGTCTACTCGGTATTTTTGTATTCTTTTCCTTTTCCTCATTTTTGTGATTTTTCGGACTTGTTTCAGACACTTCAACATGACCTCAAGGCTCACCTACACCAGGGACTCCCTCATCCAGCTGCGGCCGCAGCTGCAGCCCGGCCTCCGGCTTTTCCGCTCCGCTTCCACAGACTACTTTCCCGAGGAAATACTCCATGGACACGGAAATTGAAAAACTCATAATAACAAGGTAACCAGCAGGGGATTAAAGAAGAGTGTGGTGAGAGCCAGACTAAAGAGGGAGACACACAAACAACGAGCGCTCCCATCCATTATCCTTGCTTATGTGCGGTCTCTCCGCTCCAAGCTGGACGGGCTGCAAGCCTGCGTCAACCATCTGCATGAGTACAGAACTGCCTCCATTCTGGCATTCACAGAATTGTGGTTAAACAACAGCGACAACAACAGTGCGCTGCAAATTGATGGCTTTTCACCACCCCTTCATATGGACAGAGACCACAAATGCACTGGGAAGCAACATGGCAGCGGCGTGTGTCTGTATGTAAACAACAGCTGGTGCTCTGCAGTCACTGTGAGGGAGAAGCTGTGCACTTCAGACATCGATCTCCTGGTTGTTTCCCTGCGCCACTGCTACCTCCCAGAGAATTCCCTCTGCTTTTCATAATCTTGGTTTACATCCACCCCAGGGCTGATGCAGCTAAAGCCATAGAGTACTTCACCAACACTCTGTACAAATTGGAACAATTATCACCAGACTCTCCCAAGTTCATCCTGGGTGATTTCAACCACTGTTCCCCTGACAAGTCGCTTAACCCTTTAAAAGCAGTCGGCTTCGTCGCCCTCCCGAAACTGCCCACTGCCTTGGAGACGGCTTAGCTCTTCACCACTCATGTCTTCAGATGCCACTGAGGATATGGTTTTGGACAGAGGCCTGCAGTTTACCTCTAGAGTGTGGAAAGAATTCTGCTCCGCCCTGGAGGCCAAGGTTAGTCTCTCTTCCGGTTTTCACCCACAGAGCAATGGACAAACCGAGCGAGCAAACCAGACTGCCCTCCGTTGTGTCGCCTCCCACAACCAGTCCCTCTGGAGTTAACAACTACCTTGGATAGAGTATGCTCACAACAGCCACACCTCCACCGCCACTGGCAAGTCCCCTTTTGAAGCATCCTTGGGTTACCAACCGCCTCTGCTTCCCGCCATTGAAGGTGAGCAAACCGTCCTTTCTGTGCTGGCTCATCTTCGGAGGTGCCACCGAGCTTGGCGGGCAACTCTGGCCTGTCAATTTTTGAGAAAATTTAAGGATTTTAAGTGTGCCTTATACGTAAAATACGGTAAGTATTTGTAGTAAATCTGACTAATTTAAATTTTCCTTTTCATATCATGAAGGATGAAGTACAGAGAACAACAGATGTACATCTGTTTTGAGGGCCAACTGACCTAGAGATCGTTTTTGGAATGCGGTGTGTAAAAACTATCAATGTTTCCTGTGTGTTTCATAGTGTGAATCAGTCAAGCTTCAGGTATGGTGCTATAACAGCTGCTATACCAACTGTCAGGGGTGACTTTAGCCCATTTTTGGGGGTGCTTCAGCACCCCCAAAAATTTCTTACTTTTTTTGACAATATTTGCTGTTTGTGGGACACACTACTAAAAATATAAAAAGCATACAGTACGTAATTGAAATGGAACATTTTAACAACAAAAGTCTAGATAACCTCTCCCGCCTCCCAAAGTGGTTTGTTCCAGCTCGGCTCTCCCCTGCTCTGGCTCTAGCACCGTTGCTGCCAGAGTGATGGTGGCTGAGACGCAGTGGAGCGAAGGTGTGAGTGCCTGGCTTAAAACAGGACATATTAGCTGCATTTAACCTTCAGTTACTCTTTATATAGTTAGGTAGGAGTCAGACCATGTTTCTTTTTAGCTGAAAAACATTACAACCAGGTAACCTGCTGTGTTGAAAACGTGTTTCCCGACTATGTTTGCTACCCTACAATCCGTCCTGCTCTGTAGTAACATCAGCAACATTTGACCGTCCTTTTGCTCCCATTTAAATGTATACAGCCTATATAAAATCTAAAAAGGTAACATTGTCCATAGCCTACTGTTGTTACCACTGTCCTGTTTGAAATGGAATGAGATAAACTGGTTATTTTGTCCTATATGCATATACTGATAATGAACTGGCTGGATGCCCATTAACCTTATAACTCCTGTTGTGTGTGTGTGTGTGTGTGTGTGTGTGTGTGTGTGTGTGTGTGTGTGTGTGTGTGTGTGTGTACAGAGCGACAGCCAGGTTCGTAATGGATATGAGGAAGTTTTTTCAAAAAAAGGAGCCACATTTAGGTAAAAGTGTAAGATCAAATGATCCTTCAATAAAGGATAATGTTGGATAAGTGTTTCAATATTTATATCCTTTATTAGATGTACATGTGGTTTGGTTATTTGCCTTTTGGTTGAAAGTACACTGAGAGGACTTTTTTTTATTAGTGATCTTAATAGTATTTTTTTAATCTAATTGAATACAATCTATTTGTGTATGATTGTCAGTCCAAAGAAAGAGAGGAAAGAGGGGAACCTGAGGAGTACAAGGTCAGGAAGAACCAGGTAAGAAAACAGACGGGGAGTACTAATAGGCAAAACAGAAACTGTTAAACTGGCAAAGAAAAAAAACACAACTAATTTTACTCATACAATCTGGAAGTTGTGTTCTCCCTATATTAAAGCTGCTATACAGAGTCTGCAAAACAAACTGGGTTGTCAGCCCTGGCACTGCATTACCATATTGAAATTCAGTCAGAGGAAGTCACGGTTGCCAAAAACTTTCTGAAGCTCAAGAGTGAGGCTGGTGCCATTCTAGATATGTTAACATTGTACAATCTTCTGGATAATCAGATCTTCCCCACACTGAAAACTGTTATTCAGGTTGCCCTAACAAACCCATTTAGCAGCTGTAGCTGTGAAAGGTCTTTTAGTGTCTTGGGTCAGCTCCATACCTGGCTGAGAAGGACCATGGGTCAAAGCAGACTCCAGCACCTGGCTGTGATGTCAGTTGAGAAAGAGATGCTTGAGAGACTTGACCACCAAAATGTGATAGACAGATTTGCCAACCTCAAGGTAAGGCGACATAGGTTAAAAGAAAAGAAAAAATCTGCAGAGCCATAGTAGCATCTGCAGTAAAGATCTTTTCATACATTTTATACATTGTACCATAGACCAAGGTGTCTCCATTTTTTTATTTTTTAATAATATTTTGTACATTTCAAGGACTCTTCTATTTTTTGAGTGTATTTTTTAGTATCTGTATTGTATTATACATACACTTTAAAAGTGAATCACTGTCCAAAAAATGCACTCAGTTTACCTTTTACTCACTGTGAACATCATTCGTTATTCTCCCCCAGTAATTAAGGTTAGGATATGTATTTTTTTATTCCAATCCATTCTTCTTTGGCAGCATTTAAATAACCTTTATCAGATTTGATGGTTTTGTTACAGACTTTTCAAAAAAGCGTTTTGCTTTTCTTTCACAAATGTGGGGATTAAATTGTGTTAAAATGTACAAAACAGTGATGTCATGTTTTGTGACGAGGACCCAGGCACAGAGAGACTTGATGAATTTAAGAATCTTATGATTTAATAAAGAAATGTGCAGAATTGCACAGAGAGGGTAAAATTATGATGACTGATAATGGAGATGAAGACAACAGACAATGAGGACAGGGAGGAACACGGGTTTAAATGCACCAAAGAGACAGTCAGAGGGAACTCGGGACAACGGGAGACATTTAAGGATGCAGGGACTGACAGAGAAGGGGAAGAAGTAAAGTTTACCGTGCCTGGATGGGCAGCTCTCTGGGTGCTCAGCACCCCCAAAGCTCTGATCCTAGAATCGCCCCTGCCAACTGTTTAGCTTTATTTTTGTTTGTTTTTTTGTTTTGTTTTTTTGTCTTGCTGAGAAAGAGGACTTTCAGACAGAGTTTACAGAGGATTCACCCAAGATAATCATGCAAACATTGCCAAAATTATGTAATGGGTGTTAAACAGTCTTGCATTCTAAACGAATTTAAATGCCATCCAGTCCTAGTGTTTACTTCGGAATCTACCACTCATCTTTGGAGATTAGTTTGTCCAAATGATTACCACTGCTATTTGCTACTGCTGTTGCTTCAAATAGTGAATATTGTATTTTCACCAGTGTTATCAAAAGGTAACACTATTTTCTTGAAACACCTAATCCCGAGTCTGTAGAGGGTTCCTGAACTGTGGAAGACTTCCTGTGTGGTTACGGTGCCAGATATCACACACTCCAGGGAGCCCAACCACTTCAGGCTTGTGGCCTGATGAAGACCATGGAAAGGCTCATCCTGCACCACATTGGTGAGCTCAGCGATGGACCCCCTGCAGTTCGCCTACCGGTTTGGAATCGGTGTGAATGAAACTGTCCCCTACCTGTTACACCGATCCCTCTCTCACCTAGAGCAGGCAGGGAGCACTGTAAAGATCATGTTTTTTGACTTCTCCAGTGCTTTCCACAGCATCCAGCCTGCACTACTGAGAATCCCCCGGCAGCCTACACCTATTGCAGCATAACTAAGGGAGAATTCAGGGTCACCTGGTCCAGTCCTAAATGTATGCTTTAGCAAAAAGAAAAGTTTGAAGCCTAATCTTAAAAGTAGAGATAGTGTCTGTCTCCTGAATCCAAACTGGAAGCTGGTTCCACAGAAGAGGGGCCTGAAAACTGAAGGCTCTGCCTCCCATTCTACTTTTAAATACTCTAGGAACAACAAGTAAGCTGCAGTGTGAGAGTGAAGTGGTGTGGTGATATGGTACTACAAGGTCATTAACCCCTTAGCAGTCCTACAAATTTACAATTAGTCCCCTAAACCATCCAATGTACCGTGGGCGGTACGTCCGACTGCTAACAGGTTAAGATAAGATGGGACCTGATTATTTAAGACCGTGTATGCGAGGAACAGGAAGGTCCGACCAAAATTAGCAGACTTTATGGTGTTTCTCATCAACAATGCTCCATCTGGTGGCAGAAGATGCATAACATCTAGGACACAACTACTTATAGGCATGGGTATGAATTAAAATAATTAGAATAAACTACTAGTGTCTCTGGTACCGACTAGTGACAATGGCAATAATTTGTTGACTTGTCGCCAAATCCTTAAAAAAATAATTGTTTAATGAACTGAAATATTAATGTGTGACAAATATGCAAAAAAGAAATTAGAAAGGGGGCATATACTTAATGGCACTGTAAATATTTCTTGCATTTAAAACCCAGTGTCAGATGATTTGTGTGGTTATAATAGTAAGGCTAGCTGTCATAAGCCGTCTTATGCCATGAAATAGCTTCTCCCACAATGTTCTCTGCGGCTGCTGCCTATACACCGAATGCGGAGCTTTTCAGTGCTGCCATCTCTTTCAGAATCACAATATTTTAAAAGAGCTGTGGCACTGCTGGAAAGTCTTTTAAGGTACCAGAGCAATGTGGGTGGTAGACAGTGGGTTTAAACCTACATGGTCTTTACAAACATACAAGAAAGACAGGGGGCCTGAGCAGGAATAAATTTAGAAGTCCCCTCCTTTCTGAAGAAATCAAGCTCTTAGGATAAAAGGCATAGTGAAGGAAGATAGAGAAAAGAAGTATTACGGGCGCCTCCCATCAGCCATCTGGTGTTCCTACAGTCTACCAGTGCATTCCAAGGAGTACTAAAATGGGAAACACCGGGTAGAAGAATGAATGATTTCTATGAAGGAGGCCCAGAGATACTGTCAAACCTCTCCATGCTGACCCTGTGCTTTTCACTGGATATACAAATAACAGGGATGTCCTCTCCATCTGAACAGTCCCCTGGAGGGGCCCTCCTCTCTTCTTCCTAAGTGTTATTGAACATGCAGACAGAGTTGAGGGAAGGCAGCTCCACAGATGGAGAGAGACACGGCAGAGCTCCGGAACAAGATATGGAGAAAGAAAAGCTATTATGGTGCACACAAAAAAGATACAGGAGGAAGGAGCTTTTTAGACTGAAAATACAAGAGTGGGCAGCGGGCACACGCCATTCACCATACTGACCTGACTTTCTTCCCCACTGCCATGACATGTACACAACAGGTAGAGTATATGGAGGTCAGGCAAGCAGCTTTACCATATTGTGGAGTGTTTACTGCTCAAAACACTCTGAAGAACTAGCACACTTAACTTCTACTCCCCTTGAGAACCTAGTATAATATAAGTAGTGAATGTTGGGTTTCAGGATTATATTATACAACTAATTTTGTTTGTGAGAAAATGTAAAGTCTGAAACAACATCGATCTGCTGTAGAACATGACTGATGGGGATTCATGAATCAAAAAGGGTCAGTAAGTATGAAAAAATACTGCCTTCATAAATATTATTTTGGACCATCAGCCAAACAAATCATTCTGCAGGGTTGAAGCACTGAATGAAACATGTGCAAACATCCACTATTAAAGCTGACCTATTCTGTTTGTTATTGTCTTCACAGTTCACTTCAAAACAATCTTCATTTTTCTTGTTTTCCAGCCAGTGCCTGAAACAAGCCCTTTTATCTCCCTTCCCTCTTTATTTAGGTTTTTTGCTTAATTGTTGCCCCAAAGAAGTAGCCAGCTCAGAGGCAGAGCTCTATGCTCGAGACAATCATATGATGGCTGTTTCTCACCAGGATCCTTCTTGGTGCCTGAGTCTCCTGCTCATTTGGAGTTGTTCTGTGTGGAGTTTGAACATTGGTCTCATGGTCCAATGTTGGTTTTCTCCCACAGGAAATACATCAATGACATTCATGTTAGGTAACTGGTGTTAAATTGGTGATGACGTTTTTTCAGCTTTTACAATCAGAGTTATATGTGATGCTGTACCAAACACATTTTGCTTTTCCAAAATAAGCTGTATAAAGTGTCTGTAGGCTCCTCTTATTCATGTTTTTCTTTTGTCTGTTTATTTATTCAAGTTTAATCAGCTGTTTTACAAAGACTATACCTTCATTTCTCATTGATATGTTTAATCCTCCAGTAGATATTGAAAGTTACACACTGTTCAACCATGACCAACTGTTTTTGTTTTTAGAGATATGTGATCATCATAGGACAGTGACTACAAACATACTTATAGAATATGATTCTGGACATTAAACAGATAACGAAATAAGCTCAACCTTAAACTTTTGCATCAGTAATAATAATCAATTTAACACTAATTGTAATCATTTTGTGCAGATTACATATTTTGCTTTTGATACTTTTCCACAGTTTTCCAATAACAGTTTAATGTGTAGTGATGTGTTTTCATAGTGTTTTGGAAAAGACGCAGTGAAACTTAATGGCTCCATTTCCCACTGTAGAAAAGTGAAATCAGAATTTCCTGCCTATGCTGCCTGCCATCTTGCATTTTTGAAGCCAGAGTCTGCGCAGTAGTGATTGAGGTTGAGTCGTTGTGTTAACCTGTGTTGATGATTTTACTGCCGGTGATGGCTCACTAAATAAAGTTAAATACAATCATGTTGCTATATTTTGAAGGGCACACATCTTAACTGTTCATCATCACACCTAACATCATAACATTCATGCCTTGGCTAGATTAGCAGTGACCATACACAAGGTTGAAGTTAGCTAGTAGGCATTTCTACCCAGCTTTGTTGCACTCAATGAGTTTCAATATTTAGTCAAGTAAGGGACGCCATCAGGGCCAAGCTGTGTAAGGATTCCTGGGTCAAGTGGTTTTTAGAAACTTCCTCCTTATCACAGACGTCCTGTGCCAGATATTCAGCTGATCCAATGAGGGAGACGACATAGTAGAAACATTCGAAGTTCATTGCAAGGCTCAACAAGGACTCACGATTTTTACCAATATCTCCATCAGACTTCTCCTGTCAGCCCACGGCAGAATATGGACAAACCCAGCACTTTATGAAGAGTGTAATCAGTTAAAGTACAAACGCTCTGGACTTTTACGAAATTATGTCATATTCAGTCCCATAGAAAACAATTTGTTTAAAATGTATATTACTCTCTCCGGTTACTCTGAATGCCACTTAATAACTTTTTAGTAAATAACACACAATCTTAGCAAAGCACTGTATAAACAAAACCCAGATGAAAGTTTTTAGCTCGACATGTAAGTGAAAGTGACACGTCAGTATTACAGGTTTTTCTGAATGCTTAAACCCAAACTGTGATTCTTATAGCACAATTTCTAAAACTATTAATACTTATGGCAAAACGACTCACTGAGTTTGCAAAACTAAAAGCACAAACACTGCTTTGCACTCAGTTTGCCATTTTGTAACACACACTTTGCAAAACTGTAATAATAATAAAAAACGCATGGTCACCCCGAGACTTCAGATCTAAGTGTTCTAGCAGGAGTGTGTGGCTTGAGAAGTTCACTAAGATAACTCAGCGCTAATTTATTAATAGTTTTGAATGTAAGGAGTAATATTTTAAATTGAATGTGGCACTTTATGGGCAGCCAGTGCAAGCCAGCTAGAACAAGAGTAATAGGGCAAAATTTCCTGGTACCAGTCAAGAGGCGAGCCGCAGCATTTTGGACTGTTTGCAGTCTAAGAAGAAGAGAAGAGGGAAGACCGTAGTACAAGGAATTACAATAATCCAACCTGGAGGTTTCAAAAGCGTGAATAAGCTTTTCCAGGTCCTCATGTGGAACATAATGCCTAGGCTTAGAGATAAGACGCAGTTGGTGGAAGCTAGATCTCACTACAGCATACACTTGCTTATCGAGTTTGAACGAGCTATCCAGCAGTACACCCAAGTTACTGACATAGTCACAGGAAGAGTTAGCAAAGGGACCCAGGGCAGCAAAAGCTGGGCACGAGGAATTTTACTATTGAACACCACAATCGCAGTCTTCTTATTGTTTAAAATGAGAGGATTACTCAGGAACCATTCTTTGACCTCCCGCATGCATTCTTGAAAGTAGTGCAGGGACACAGCAAGGTCGTCAGCAAGTTCAAAATAGATCTGTATGTCATTGGCGTAACAGTGGAAGGTGATATTGTATTTTTCAAAGATTGCGCCTAGAGGGAGCAAATACAATGAGAAAAGAATAGGGCCTAAAACTGATCCTTGAGGCACACCGCAACAGACCGGTGGGGAAGGGGAAGAGGAGAAGGCACCTAAGTTAACCGAAAAGGACCTGTCAGCGAGGTATGATTTAAACCAGGCGAGGGCAGTGCCTCTAATACCGGCAGTGTGCTCAAGTCTTAATAATAAGATGTTATGGTCCACCATATCAAAAGCCAAAGAGAGGTCCAATAAAACTAGGACCATAGAGCGTCCAGTATTAGTAATTACAAGAGAACTCTTACATTAAGAACTCTAACCAACGCTGTTTCAGTACTACAGTGGGGCAAAAAAGTATTTAGTCAGCCACCGATTGTGCAAGTTCCCC